CAGACATATCAGATTTTTTCTCTGCCTTTTTGTGGCTCTAAGGAAATCAACCACTTCTTCTGTGAAATTCCCCCACTTGTTAAGCTGGCTTGTGTGCATACTTTTATCAATGACATGTTGCTCTACTTAGTAGCTGTGTTATTTGGCATAGTTCCATTTCTGTTGATCCTTGGCTCTTACAGTAAAATCATCTCCACCATCCTGAAGTTGCCATCAGCTGCAAGTCGTTCCAAAGCCTTCTCCACCTGCTCGTCTCATGTTATGGTTGTGGTTTTATTCTTTGGATCAGCAATTATTGCCTACTTGAGACCAAAGAGCAGTCACTCAGAGGAAACTGGCAAAGTCCTTTCCCTTTTCTATACTATTCTCACTCCGATGTTCAACCCCATAATATACAGTCTAAGGAATAAGGATGTCATAATGGCCCTGAGAAAGTTGTTATACAAATAAATTTTAACAGATGTATAGCTCTAAAAATATACAGGTAACAGCCAATAGCAAGTCAATATATTAGTAATTTTGTAATTTTATGTCTTCCCACATTAACAATTTTCAGGGCTAATTTATTCAGTTACGATAAATAATCTGTAAAGTACTCAATGAAATTCACATCATTATTGTCATGATTGATCATACATGTGACACCCACTTTTTAAAAAAGTTATTTTATTGAGGGCTCGTACAATTCCCATCACAGTCCATACATCCATCCATTGTGTCAAGCATATATGTACATTTGTTGCCCTCATTAATCTCAAAACACCTGCCTTCCACTTTAGCCCTTAATATCATTTGCTCATTTCCCCCCTCCCTCCCCACTCCCCCATCCCCCATGAACCCTTCATAAGTCATAAATTATTATAGTTTTGTCATAAGTTACACTGTCCGACGACACCCACTTTTAAAACCAAATTGGAACTGTACATTAATTCAAACCACATGTATATTTTGGACTCAAGGAAACAAAGGATAGGATCTTTCAGTGATGATTTATTTAATAACTTATGATGATAAACCAATGCCATTTGTACATTAGGCACACTTTGTGCATATCAGATTAGAGATTCTTCTATAATATATTCATACGGTATTATAAAGTATGTTAGCATTAAAACATTTTCATAAAATAAAAAAGTAGTGAGTTTGTCTAGAAGTTTGTATTTTCCTTCATTTTGTTTCCGTGTATTCTAGAGATAATAGATGGAAGGACAAGTTATAAAAGAGGGAATTCATTTAAAAATAAAAATATAGAGCTCCCTATCAGTTGGAATTGAATTGATAGCACCTAACAACAACATCAAATAAAAGAAGACCATGAAAATACTTTGTAAACAGCACACACACACACACACATACACACATTGAATATAATGAAGGGGAATATTTCACCAATGTTAACTATGGTATTCCACAGATACGTTTTTCTTATTTTACTTTAATGTTTCTTACTTTTGGTGCTATTAAAATGAGCCCAGGTTATTCATGTAATCTACAAGATGAAACAATGAATCTGTAC